TAAAACATAAAGAAAAATAATTTTAAACTCTTTCCTTTCTTTATTCCAAAAATTCAAAAATGGAGAAAATAATTAAATTAAATTACCTTTTGCAATTTAAAACACACATATCAAAATTTCAAAAATTATTTTATTTGCAAAATGGTGAATTGTTTTTAATTAATTTCTCTTCAAAAAATATATTTTCACCAACAATTTTCAAACCCGAATTACGTGGACTTTGATCCCCATTACAAGGTACGTAGGCTTCAGAGTCAGATTTTGAGTCAAGTTCGTCCTCCTTCGTAAATAAATAAATATTTCTCACTCAATTATCATCATTTTTATATCAAACACATGAATATAAAAGGGATAATTAAAATAATTATAAAAACATATTAATAGAGCACAACAAACTTTAGATAACCGTTCTGACGAACGGGTGTTGTAGGGTGCCTAATACCTTCTCCACACTTAACCGACTTCGAACCTTGTTTATATTTTCATAGACCACCCTTATCCTCCCTTTAATTAGTTTCTCGAGATTTCCCTCAAAATCTTAGTGGCGACTCCTCTTTCTATCTGGTTCCCACCGCGAAGGCTGACACCTCTGCTCGGGCGCCTTCTGCATCGCATTTTTCCGGATGCGACAGTTCCCTTAAACTTCACTTTAAACCACTACTCCACTATAACTTATTTGGGTATAAATATCTTATATGGATACAAACATGCTTATAGTGGTAGAACCAACATTTATTCCCATATAGTGTACCTTTAATCATTGTCTTTTATAAAAAGCTATTCTGTTATAATTTATTTATTCCCATACCATAACTTAGTATTTCTTCTCAAAATATTCTTGATTACATTGGTATAATGAAGTTTATATCGATACAATTATGAAGAAACATGCTCTATTGTATGTTTTATAACCTCTGAGTTTCAAAATATCACTTGTTATTCTATGTCTCCATATTCTAAGTGTTGTATTTTCATTTTTACCTATCTAGATGTCTTCTAAACACAACCTTAGGTCAATTTAAACACTCATCAAATCTATCCTTATTATATATACCTGTATAGTATTTGGTTTTACCAATATTAACCTACCTACATTTTGCTAGAGTAATAAATGCATATAGCCATTACTTTCCTTACTTGTTATGAGCACACAAGCTATTGAAAAGCAATGTGTCATTGTCTTAGTTTCGGAGTAACTCAGGAGGAATGAAGATGAAGAGTTTAATGACCAATTAAATGTGTCTGATGGATCATTAATCAACTCCAACTATGAATAGGCAAATTTATAAAGATAATTGTATTGGGAAGAGTTATTAAACAATCTTAAGCATTCAATTCTTTACCAACCTTTTGCTTTTATATTCATTGTTATTGAACTTTATTGACTGTATATCTACTCTTGGAGATTTTTTAATAGTAATAGTTCATTCTTGGCTTACTCTGTTTATCCATGTTTTCACTGCTTGAAATAAAAGACTTAAGCTCAGGGAGCTTAGGAGGGGTTATTCATTACCTTTGTAAGGAGGCATGAATCAGATATATTATTTAGGAGTGTATTGTGCAACTAAAAGCCCAAATTAATCTTGGTAGAGTAAATGAACAAAAATCTTAAGTGTGACTTGGGAATTGGACATAGGCTTAAGCAGTTTGAGCTAAACCAAGATAAATACACGTGCATTGCTTCTCTCCTTACTCTCAATATCTTGGTGATATCGTTTTTTTTAACTTTTCTCTTTTATTATGTAAAATTGGTTAAAATTTTATTTAGCCCAATTCATCTTCCCTCTTGGAAACATTTAAATCTTAGGCCCAACGAGCTAAATTTACTCTAAACAAATAGTTTCATAAATTTATGTAAGGTAACTTGTGGATTTAAGGAAAGTTACTTGTGACGGAAAATTAATTTTGAATGGATAGTCTCATGAATTTATGAATAATTACTTTTGATTTAAGATAGTCAATTGTGAAACTAAGGAAGGTTACTTGTAAGTCTATGGATTAGTCAGTTGTGAATGGATAAATATTCTCTTATGAATAGATGCATCGTCACTTGTGAATTTTAAGAACACTCACTTGTAAATCTATGAATAATTTTTCTTGTAAATTTATAATTAAGGGACCTTTCACCTTTTTTAAATATATATTCATAACTATTTTTTTAATAATTTCACAAGTAACCTTTCCAAATTTCACTAGTGGCTATTCTTAATTTATAAGTGATGATGCATAAATTCATTAGATTATCTTCACATTAATAATTGACTTTTCATTGTTTCATAAATAATGTTCTTTAAATTCATAAGTAACCTTCCATTGGCTATTTTCTACAAGACCATCTATTCATTCACATTTGATTTTCCATATGTTCACAAGTGACTTTTCTATTTGGCTAGTTGTGATGGCTGGAAAGTGTGGTTGAAGAAATTCAAGAGACAAGATAATCCTTTTTGTCAAGCTTCTGTTTGGTTGAATAATCAAGAAGTTCAATCTATTCTTTCACAAAAAAAAAAAAAAACAACTTATTTAGATTCATGACTATTCAGCCTCAAATGTCTTTGATTGTATACTTCACTAAATTGTTAATAATAACTTCTCAACCTCTCATGACTCTAGTCCTCTTGGTATCATCTGCCATGATAAACCTTCAACAAAGATCTTTCACTATGGAGACTCTCAACTGTGATATTATTTTATTAATTTTTCAATTTATCTCATACTTATTTCGTATTTCTAAGTTTATGTGTTCTAACTCTGGTATTGTTCTTAGACCTATTTCATTGTAGAACTCTTTTTACTTTTTATGATACTGATCATTTTATTAAAAAAAAGTTAAGATGTAATTTTACTTTTGTACTTATTTTCAAGCAGTGTTAGGCAATCTATGCTTATAAGTGAGACAATTTTTCCCCTGAAATATTTTTCAGAGGAGAAAAATTCCTCTCTATTAGTTAGCCATTTATTCTCCCTTTGTGCTGATGTGTCATAGCTCATTACATTCTAACTTGGCATTTAAGTTGTAAGCTCTAACCCAGCTTTGAACCTTTAACATGGCATCCCTTTTTTTTCAAAAAAAAAAGAGGAATTTTTTTTAAAAAAAAAACCTACAAGTGGACCCATAATCTTGTTTGATGATGGAAAAGAAAAACCCTTGGTTTTATAACAAATAAAGCCAAAATCCTATTGCAATCAAGAAATTTCATACACAAAAACCAATAAAATGCTTGAATACTCGCAAAATAGGCAATTGTAGTAAAGAAATTATAAAATTTTAATTGATAAAACTAAAAGATAGATGAAACTATCACATTCTACCTCTAAATTCTAAATCTAAATCCCTAAAATACATTACCACCATTATTCTATCAATCACAAGTAAGACATACTTCTAATTCTAATTCTATACTAGACCTTCACAAATAAATTTAGTGGAAACCTTCTTTAACCTTTAAATTTATGCATGGTTCTTCACTGCCTCTTGAGGGCATAAAGCACATCCATGGCATTAACAGTCTTCCTACGAGCATGCTCTATGTAACATAGCATCACAAATCACATTTTCTATGAAATTCTTAAGCACACCACAAGTTTCCTTGAAGAGCAAACCACAAATGCGCTTGATACCTCCTCTTCTTGCTAATCTCTAAATTGCAAGCTTTATGACTCCTTAAATGTTTTTGTGAAGAACCTTAACTCTATCGAATTCACCATATTCCTTGTTTTCTCTTATAGCATCAATCTCTTGACCAAATCCCCCACTCTCTCTTTGATCGGTACCAACTTGTTACAAAACTAAAGAGTTAGGGTTCCAAAGACTTAAGGGCAGTATTGCTTGCCTACACTAACAAACACAAATATACTATTTTTCAACTATAAAACAACCATACACATGCATATATAATCTTGCTCTTGATGTTATAAATTCATCTTGGCAGTCAAATTCCTAACCGCTCTCATATTTTCTTTACTCAATCTGATGTGGCCGCTTCTAGAATTGGAGGGAGAAGAAGAATGAAGAAGATGAGAGCACAGTTCACCATATTTTTCATGCCATCATGTTTATTTGCCAGGAGAGCCAAGTCACTAGTAGAAAAACAAAAGAGATGCCACGCTAGACGGTCAAAGATGGGTTAAAAGTCATAGGTTGGATGCCAAGTTAGAAGATAATATGCCTTATGCCATGATACATAAGCATAAAATGAAAGAACAAATAGTTGACTAACAGAAAGGCAAATTTCACTCCTCTTAAAAAATAGATCAAGGGAAAAATTATCTCACTTAATAATTTATGGTGCCCAGCACTCTTTGAAAATAAGTATAAGGGTAAATTTGGATTTTAACAAAAAAGTAACTTTTGTATAATTCACAAATGATTATCTTTAAAGTCACAAGTGATTATGCATAAATTCATAAAACTATCTATCCATTTATAATTGACTTTACAAATAACTTTTCTTAAATTTATAATTAATTGGTAAGGGTAATTTTGTAAATGCATTTGCCTTTTTATTTCAAATAAGCTTTGATTACTATTAATGTATTGAAAATGTCCTTATCTTTCCCCCAAGACAAAATGCTGTGCTAGGCTAGGGTACATGGCTAGTTTTTTTTTTTTTTTTTGGAGAATGGCAAAGAGGTCTCAAAAGATTTAATTAATTTAAATTAGGTCTTAAGTATTAAATTTTAAAAATTTACAACTCAATCTCTTAATTTTGTGACTGTATTGTGATGAATTTACAATTTATTTTTTAAATTTTAATATGGTTGAAGAGTAAGAAAATTTATTTTTCCTATTAAAATTTAAAATATAAGTTATAAATTTATCACAATAAATTATAAAATTAAAAAATTAAATTATAAATTTTTAAAGTTTAACCTTCAAAATCTAACTTAAATTAATTTTTTTTTAAACTTTTCTGTCCTTCTTTATAATTTTTTTTTCTTGGAAGGGTATATTATTTGGGAAGCTAAAGGATTCATGGAGCGATGTGCTCAGCAGGTGTAGACCATTGGATTAATCAAACGGCGAATGCGTAGAGATGGGCAGCTTCGGTTCTCTTCAGGGTCTCTTGTTCAGGCTCTGATTCGCCTAGAGCGCGCGCACCTTGCTTGATAGTAGACGAAGAGAGACATTGATCTCAGGTCATATCCTTAGGGGCACCTCCAACAATGGCGACGACTACCGCGGAGCCATCGGATGCAGAACCTCCATTATCATCAGGCGCCAATCCCATAAGCACCAAGCTGAAAACCCTAGATGAAACGACGCCATTCGTTGATTACGCCGTCCACCAAGCCCAGCTCTACGAGAAGGCCTTGAACAACGCCCTCGATTCTGCTATTGATTCTTCCAAATCCCGGCTTTCTCAGATTCGTTTCACATCCTCGGCGCATTTTCATCAGGTCTTGGTACGTTCATTTGTTTTGTATGCTTGTTTAGTTCGTGTCTATCTGCCGTTTTTTGTTGTCTTTGCATAATATTTCGAGTGATGACTCAAATTTTGAATTGTACATTTCATCATTTGTTCAATTTATGTCAGTAACGGGAATATTTGCTAATCCTGGCAAAATAATTTCCATGGATCAAGCATATTTTCAGGTGCATGGGCACTCTCCAGCGAACTAATCAGGATTCTTCTTCTTTTGTTTTGGTTCTTTTCTTTTTAATATCAATGTAATTGTAGGGTGCTTTGCATGATCTCAAGTCTGACTATAATGCTTACGAGGAACTTTTATTTGGAAAGATTAAAGGTTTGTTATTTGGTTGTTCTACTGATTCAATTGTTAATGAAGTAGTGTAGGTTCATCTGTTAATACCTTCATGATTCAGATACCCGTGTTTTACTTTTCCATCGCAGAGGGTGTTCGTGTTGCAGCTTCTCATCCAATCATTACTTGTGGGGCTACTGCTGCGTTGAGTTTTCTTGTACTTAAAAGTAAGTGTCAACACGACACTTATTTGTGGCTTCTATATGATCAATGTAGGGTGAATTCTTGCAATCCTGCATGTTGAATTTGGAATATGATGATGAAAGGGAGTAGCCATTGTTGTTAAAATGTTTCATTTAAATATAATGATACTAACCTTTGATATTATGGCAAAACCTTCCTGTGAACTTTGTCCCTGTGCAGTTTAAACTATGGAAAAGGATTCCTTTTTCATGCTATGCAAATCAAGATATGGAATATTTATTATTTTTTTTTATCATTACTAAACATTATTTGTCTCTTCTTATTACTTTTTTTAAAATATATTTATGTTGGAATAAAAGACATTTCACTAATATATGTGTGTGTGAATGTGTTGGAATAAAAGACATTTCATTTGCACAAATAAATTTTCTCATCTAACTACTATATTCCATTTCATTTTGTGTACCAAACGAGCCCTTTATCTTCTCCACTGTGAAAACAACTAAATTTATAGCCTTGCTAATGACATAAATGCCAATATCATGTTTGTTATACATTTATGCTGTGACATGCATCATGCAATGTTGATATCCTTATTGTAAATTTCTACTGTTACTTAATGGTAGATTTGCATTTTTCTTTAAATTTGCTTAACTCACAGGACCTCGCCAATTCATGTACCACAATGCACTGCGCCTTTTTGTTAGTGAAGAGGTGAGTAATGCCCTAGATATTTTTATTGTCTTGAAAAGGATAAAGATACATGCTGAAGTGCAGTGGCAACATAAATTATATCTGTATTTGATAGCACTCCACCAAATACTGATGATAACATCTAAATGGTATGGAATAAAGGAAACAAGATGGCAGAGTCGTTTCATATCATAGCAGCAAATAAGATCCTCAATCCTAGTAGAAACAGATAGGATAGGAACGATGGCAACAATGCAAATCAACAATAATGTAATACAAAATTACAGAATAAGAACTAATAAACAACATCCTCGAGCTTTTGAGATGCTAGAGACACTCCACCTAAATCTGAACTCCCTTGCCCCCTCCTATCCTAAATTTCCTGTTTATTCACTAGTTGACTACTCTATTCCCAGTGAGTAATTACATGCGACATCCTTTTTTTTTTTTTGGGGTAAAATCACTTTATGTAAAATCGTTTCACCAATAAGGATTTGGAACCTCATGATTGGTCATCGTATGCAAGATTTTGAATTTTGATTTTATTATCTAGAATGTTCTTGGCTCAAGCATTCAATTTTTCCTTAGATGATAACATCTAAATGGTATTGAATAAAGGAAACAAAATGGCGGAGTCCTTTCATATCATAGCAGCAAATAAGATCTTCAATCCTAATAGAAACATATAAGAACGATGGCAACAATGCAAATCAACAATAATGTACTGCAAAATTACAGAATAAGAATTAATAAACAACATCCTCCAGCTTTTGAGATGCTAGAGACACTCCACCTAAATCTGAACTCCCTTGCGCCCTCCTATCCTTAAATTTCCTGTATATGCACTAGTTGACTACTCTATTCCTAGTGAGTAATTACATGCGACATTCTTTTTTTTGTTTTTTTTTCCTTTGGGTAAAATCACTTTATGTAAAATCATTTCACTAATAAGGATTTGGAACCTCATGATTGGTCATCGTATGGCAAGATTTCGAATTTTATTTTATTATCTAGAATTTTCTTGGCTCAAGCATTCAGTTTTTCCTTATTTTCTTATGCATTGACCCCTTATGTATTTTTTATACATATATGTGAAATTATTTAAGTATTTTTTATACATGTACTAAGAGGGGTAGAAGGCCAAAACAAACACTTATGGAAGTTATTGATCGACATCTCTTAATTAACATTTTTAAAAGTTTGATAAATGATAGAGTACAATGGCGTAATACAATTCATGTAGCGGATCACAGGATGAGGCTTGTTGTTGCTGTATTTGAAATTATTTATAATCAAAATTTAGACAAATTGTCACTTTGTCTGCATATAAATGCTTAATAATTTGATTGTTTTTCATGGAAGGTCTAGATAAATATTGGACTATGTTGAAAGTGTAAAGACATTGCATGGTAATTACCTGGATTATTAATGATACATTTGTTTTGAGGTGTAGGCCTTGATTAATAGAGTTAATATGCAAGTGAGAGAATTGCGGCAATTGGTTGAATCTTTGAGGGCTGAAAGTGAAAAGTTAGAGGTAAAACTTCAAGTTCCATTATTCCATGTCAACTCTTATAAGTTGCAATGATTTTGTTACATTTATTTCATGTATTAATTTAGATTTTGTAGGTGCAAAGTGAAAAACTCTGCACTAAAATATTCAGTGACAAAGAAATTAGAATTAGAATATGTGGATTTGAGAATTGTGTGATTTTTGAATCAATTTCCTTGATTGATAGCATAGTACAAAGTTAGAGAATATAAACAGAGTGCTATAAACAAAAATAAAGGCTAATAAATGCTATACACCGAGCACCTTCTCTCTAATCCTATCTTAGAGAATATTTACAATAAATGACGACAACCAAAATAAGCCTTATTCCATTAGATGGGGTCAGCTATAATAAAAAAATGGCCCATTTGTTTAACACTAAAGCATAAATTATCTTTAGATAGTTTAGAGATTTTATAACATCCATTTGTGCAATAATGATGAAAATTGCGAAAGGTATCGTATGGCTAAAAGGGAAACTAAGAAGGCCTGAGTGAAGTTTGTTCTAAAGCATTTGAAGAGTTTTATAATGGTCTTGGGATAAAAGATGAAGAACGAAAAATTTATAAGATTGCTAAGAACAAGGAAAGAAAATTAAGAGATTTGGAACAAGTAAGATGTATAAAGGATGAAGAGGGAAATGTTTTGGTCGCAGATAATGATATTAAAGACAGATGGGAGACATACTTTTCTAAACTTTTCAATTGTGAAGTGAGAGAAGTTTTTAAGAAAATGGCAAATGGTAGAGCCAATGAACCTGATTGTATCCTTATTGAAATGTGAAAATGTTTGGGTGGAGGAATGCGGTGGTTAATTAAGTTATTTAATGAGATCTTACAATCCAAGAGAATGCTGGATGATTGGAAGAGAACCACTTTAGTTCCTATTTATAAAAATAAAAGATATTTAGAATTATGCTAACTATAAAGGGATTAAACTTATGAGTTATACTATGAAATTATAGGAAAGAGTGATTAAATATAAGTTGAAATTGGAAATTGATATTTTTGAGGATCAGTTTGGCTTCATGCTAGGGAAGGCAATTATAGAAGTGATTTATCTACTAATGAAATTAATGAAAAAATATTGATATAAAGGTAAAGATTTACATATGATTTTCATTGATTTAAAAAAAGCTTATGATCGTGTACTGAGAAAAGTACTTTTGAAAGTATTGGAAAAGAAGGATGTCCAAGTTGTCTATATTCGAGTTATACAAGACATGTATGAGGGAGCAACAACTAGCATAAGAATGCTCGGTGGTGAAATAAAAGATTTTCCTATGAAGATTGAATTGTATCAAGGATCATTTTTGAGTCCTTATTTGTTTGATCTAGTTTTAGATGTTTTGACTGGGCATATTTAAGAGAAAATTCCTAAATGCATGCTTTTTGCGGATGATATAGTTCTTATTACAGAGATAAGAGAAGAGATTAAATTGTAAACTTGAGCTATGGAGGAAGGCATTGAAGTTAAAAGGTTTCCGCTTGAGTAGGAGTCAAACAGAATATTTACATTGTAATTTTGATAAGAGGTCAGTGAGTAGTGATTTGGAAGTGAAATTGGGTGATCAGGCCATACCTTAAGTGGAAAAGTTTAAATATTTGGGAGCGATTGTCCAGACAAAATGGGGAGATTGATGGAGATATTGTACATAGGATACAAGCGTAGTGGTTTAATTGGAGAAAGGCTAAAGGAGTTATCTATGATTGTAAGGTACTTAATAAGCTTAAAGAAAAGTTTTATCGAATTGCAATAAGACCAACAATTTTATATAGTAATGAATGTTAGGCTTTGACAGGACACCAAAAGTATAAAGTTGGAGTAGCAAAGATGAGAATGTTGAGATGGATGTATGGATATACACATAAGGACAAAATTTGAAATGAGTGAATACCAAAAAAAGTGGGCTTGACACCTATTGAAGGAAAAATGGTAGAAAATCATTTGAGGTGGTTCGGACATGTACAAAGAAGACCATGGGAGGCACTTGTGAGGAGAGTGGAACAGATGACTTTGAGCCTTATCAAGAAGGGTAGAGGAAGATCGAAGAGAACATTTTTGGAGGTTGTTGAGTGAGACCTTTTAATTAATAATATTTCTAAAAACATAATAAATGATAAAGTATAATGGCATTATATAATCTATGTAGCCGACCCCACCTAATGGGATAAGGCTTTTTGTTGTTGTTAGAGATTTTATAAAAAAGAGATTTACTTTGTAGAAATTTTGTAAAAAGTTGAAATTATTTTGTTTGCTTACAATAATAAAAAAATTGTTATTATTTAGTAATTTTTAGATTCTATGATACCTTTGTGAATCTCTCTGTTCACAAAAAATGATTTATTATTTAGTTATTTTAAAATCTTGTTTATCTTCGTGTATCTCCATATTTTTCATAACATTCTTTCTTATTTAGTGTATCAGATCATTTCCAAAATAGCTTCTCAAAAATCAAAATAATAAAAAGGCATGCTTTTGTTTCCAGGTTCTGATTAGTTAAAACATTTAAAATTTCACAAAATAGATTTTTTTTCCCTTGAAGATATAATTGATTTTTTTCATAAAAAAAAAACTTAAACAAACGGGCCAAAATAGGCAATCCAATTGGGAACTTGGGTTTTGATATTAATCTCAAAAGGGTTTGGTGCATCAGCTCTTCATGAGAAGGCTTCACCTAGCCTTCATCTTCTCCCCCTACCTTTTTGCCTCTCAGGTATGTACACTTCCTGTTATCACATGTTCCGGCCTTTCCTATGTTACTCGCTCTCCTAGGATATCTCATGTAAGTCTTAGGGAAGAATCTTACTTCATCCTGAGGAGGCACTGTTAAAATCCTGATAGTTAAAATGGACACTTGATTAAGAAACGAGTCTTGCGATGGGAAGAAGTCTATTTCCAAGCTTCTAAACTAATGTGAGGCCAAAAAGTTAAAATACGTAAAGGGCAAGAACCTTGCCGATTAAATCATGAGACTGCTATCTAATGAAAACAACCATACTTCTTTAGGAATGACTTTTCTTTTGGACAGGAAGTTCCAATGTCATTATGTAGTATTATCAATTCATGTTAAATTGATAATTCTCATGTCAAATGCTGGAACTAATTGTGACAATATGAATGCCATGTGATTCACTGGAAGCTGTAGTTATTCTTATTGACAGTGCATAGAGCACTTCAGCACCATTTTCTGTCATAAAGTTTTGCCTGGGATGCATGCGCATCTAGAACAGAATCATGTTTATATTAACTGTTTGTCCCTGGTTAGCACCCCTCCCTCATTTTAGAAGTGACTTAATAACTCCACCCTCCCCTTAACTATTTAAGAAAACATGCTTCAGAAAAATAAGGGATGGAGGTGAGGGTTTAATTTACCCTGGGGATAAATTAAGGAGATTGGTCATTGCATTTGCCTTTTTATCCTCTTGGGTAAATGTTAACATTTTAGATAGTAGTGGTAGCACCTGCTCTTTTTAAAGTCTATTCCAAGGAAACATTAAAACAAAGTCAGCTATTCATGGTATTTGTCATTGCTTTCAGAAGAGGGCATTACATGCAGAAGAGGAATTCTTACATGGAAGAACAAAGCTGAGGTTTGCAACTTAAGGATGTAAAGCTGTAAAATTTACTGCGTAAGTCGCATATATGTTATTTATTCATATTTGTGATTTTGTTGCAGACAAGCTGGGAAACAAATCCGAAGTGTGATTCAATCAGCATATAAAATTGAAAGAAAGGCAGGAGGTATGCAAAATATGATATCTTCCTTTATAAGGAACTGTTGTGTGCCAATCAACTACGCTGGCGATTGTTCTTTCTACTCTTCTTGACCTGGCTTTTTTTTTTTTTTTTTTTGGGCTTCAATAGGCTTAAAAGATTTCCTTGGAGAGCTTCCTAAAAGAGAAGCATCTCATTTCCGGTCACAGGTAAAATTTTTGTTGGCAGGATGCAGTTCACATGCTTCGCAAAACAAAGGCTGTAAAGAGTTAATTGTTGGCCTAGTTAAAAAATGTAATAATGTGAGTTTTCCCAAATAACAACAACAACAACAACCACGTTTTTATCCCCTTATATAAAGACTAGTCACAACGAACTTTCATTTTCCACATGGGAATAGATTTGGGGGCATTTTGATGGTCTTAGAGGGCTGGGTCTTTTTGTCCAAATGCTTTGAAATTTTTTGCATGTTACTTGAAGCCAAATAGCAGAGACTGAATTAAAATTTTGGCGATACTATAAGAACTGAAAGTATAAGTTTAACCAAAATGTTTCACATGCTCAAGGTCTATTAGGTTTCAATCTTTCTGCACAAAGAACTGGTAACCGTAAATAAGGTTGTTACAATAGATATAATTGCTTTGTTGCTGTTATGTTAATAGCCATATATCTCTGGCCAAAAAAATAAATAGCCATTTATCGAGTCGATGAGTGTACAAACTTTCTGTATTGTCCTTTACTTATTAATATCTATTCAGCCATAGCAAATGCTAACTTGTACACTCGCTAGCAGGTTTCCAAGCTTGCTTCCGAAGCAAAGAAAGAAAAGAATACCTTGACCAAGGAGGTCTCAAAAATTAGCAACTATGGCATCTCGGTTTGACAAAATTTTACATTAACCTTCTCTTATTGGATAGGCAATTAGGTTTCCAAATGAGATCACCGTCAGGAATAATTCAATCCCTTCTCTATTTTTATATTTCACAGATTTTCTTTTGTTGTATTTCTTTTGGGAGTAGGGGTATGCTTTTTGTTGTTAATCGAGATCTCCTCCCTTTTATCAGACAAATTCATCTTGAAGGACAAAGGGATTAAGGGAAAAATGGGAAACATAAGAAGCACGCGTTGATGTTGTATACAAACTACCTTGATACTTGAGATTGATCTAAAGGGATTAGTTTCAGTGCTCATCAAAGCATCATGGTGCTTAATGGGATTTATATTGTCTAAATCTAATTTGAATGGGTTAGATTTAAAAATTTTAATTGCAACTTTTTTTATAAAAAATATTTTTGACAAAGTGATAGTTAGAAAATTATTTTTGCTTCAAATTTTATATGTCAAAATAAAAAAGTTACAAAAATATAAAATTAAACTAATATTAAATCTAACCATCCAATTTTAATTTTGGGTAATAGAGAAAATTTGCTTGTAAATTATAGGTCTAAAAACGTTTAGGATTTGAAATTCATTTTTTATACAATATATATTTTTTTTCATCTTTTGAAAACATCATTCGATTCTTGTCGTTAATAAAAGTTAACTTTGATTGTTAACTAATTATAAAATAACAAAAAAGGACCTTCATAATTCTAGAAATGAATTTAAAAAAATAACAATAAAAACCTCAAAAATTAAAGACAAAAATTCAAAAAAATATTAAAAAATAATTAAAAATATTATTGGTTATTTCTTGTAATTTTTGAGATTTATTATTTTTTTATTAACTAATGATTAAAATTAATTTTTATCAATGACAGGTTAGATTGTAACATTTTTAAATGTTAAAAAAAACAGTAAAAAAAATGAGTTTAAATTTTCAAATACTTATGAATCAATAGTTTAAATGTTAATTTGCTGTTTTAGCCTTTGATCTTGATCATGTGTCAAGACTCAGATTAGCTGTTACTGGTGATGGGGACCAGCATGCAGACTCGGCCTCTATGGACATGTGACTAATGACTTGTCTAATGATGACCTCATGTTGCATTCCTTCGAGGACACTATGCAGGAGGTAGAAACAGTTGCCGAAACGCCACTAGTGGTTGAGGATTTGCCTTTCACCGCCTTCATTTAGAGACAAATTGATCAACAGAGGTCCTTCGTCTATCGCTCTTGGAGCCAAGAAGCTTGATGAAATCTAGTTTGAAAAGGGAGATATCATGATTAACAAAAAGAATACTATTACTCACCAGGGTCAAAATATGCGTCTAAATTAAACAAAATCCTCACATCAATAAAGAAAATTGAACTTACGACCTTGTAAATTATAGACTAAATTTTTACTAAGTAGATCAATGTTTGTTGGTTCTTTCTATCACTTTTGCTGATAGGATAAAGAGTGGGCTGTAACATGAAATTGTCAATCATTATGAAACTCCTAGGATGTCCTATCGAATTCAAGTCACATAAGGCTCATGTTACGACCATGTGGAATTCTTGCGGGGACTCGCAACTCAATTCTTGGCAATTGTTTCATTATTATTTAGGAAGAATGGCATTAAAGGCCTTAAAAATAGATTTTATTACAATTTAGGTCTAAATGAATTTGATATTGTTCTACAGGCCTTGGGGCCCTTATTGTCAATTTTCTTAAGACCAAAAGTATGATTTTGCCCTTTGTTTGATTTGAATTCAAAACCTGCGTGAACTCTCAAAACAACGAAATAGACCATACACAATATAACATTCACTATGCACAAGACAATGTCCATATATCTCAATAGAAAGTCTATGCATTTCAAATATTTCACTAGCCTTGGCTTTAGCAAAAGTGACTAGGCAGATTATGCACAACACAATATCCACTATGCATAATATGATATCCACGTGTGCTGAACAAAAAATTCATACATTTTTAGTATTTCACTAGCGTAAACTAAAACAAAATGACATTAGGTAGACCATACACAACACAACATTCACTATGCACAAGACGGTGTCCACGCGTGCTCAATAGAAAGTCTATGCATTTCCAATATTAAGAAGGATAATTATATCATATATGAATAATTTCATGTTGGTATTATCTAAGGTACTAAAACAAGTACCCACATAAAATTTGACACAATATTTCAAGTCTGATATATACAAAAAGTTAGCCACTGTATCTAAAATATCTAACAGTTGCTTCTTCATATACAAATAAAAATTATTTGTGATTCCCACTTACCCAAAAAATATTATTTGAAAATGCTTTCATATACATAATTATAGTTGCTTGCGTACATCAAAGAAGTACAATGTAACCACTTCTTATGCTGGGTTAGGATTCTTGCACATCTTGTGACTGTGTCCGGCTTTCCCACATCTTGAACAATGATAAATGTTTTTATCTTGAAAAACTCTATCCTCCTTGTTCACGGCCTCTCGGGAGGACAGCTAGGTAAAAACGATTGCAAGAAAAAAAAGTTTGTGATATATTCTCACCTAAAAGTCTATGTGATTCCAATTTATCATTATGCTAGACTTAACAAAATACTGAAGTTAAGAAAATAATGCATAACATAATATTCACTATGCACAATATAAGGTTCATTTATTCTCAACTAAAAGTCCATAAGATTCTACTTTATTAGTAGGCTAGGCTTGACAAAATGTACAAGTAAAAAAATAATGCACAATACAATATCCACTATGCACAACATAAGGTTCATATATTCTCAACTAAAAGTCTATACGATTCTACTTTATCAATAAGCTAGACTTAACAAAATGTACAAATAGGCAAACAATGCATAACGCGATATCCACTATGCGCAATATAAGGTTTATTTATTCTCAACTAAAAGTCCATAAGATTCTACTTTATTAATAGGTTATGTTTGGCAAAATGCACAAGTAAGCAAACAATGCACAGCATAATATCTACTATGTCATATATTCTCAACTAAAAGTCCATACGATTCTACTTTATCAGTAGGTTAAGCTTAACAAAATGTACAAATAGGAAAACAATGCATAACATAATATCCATTATGCACAATATAAAGTTCATTTATTCTCAACTAAAAGTCTATAAGGTTTTACTTTATTAGTAGGTTAGGTTTGACAAAATGCAGAAGTAAGCAAACAATGCACAACACAATATCCACCATGCACAACACAATCTTTATATATTCTAAACTGAAAGTCCATGTGTGTCTAGTTTATTAGTTAGCTAGGCTTAACAAAATGTTTTTCAAGTTTATGAACAATAAAAAGTCTGTATATAATATGACAAGGTCCATTTATTAACAAAACGATGTCCATTTATTTTACATGATTTGTGTGATTAAACTGAATATTTGAAAAAAATTTTCAAGTTTATGAAGAACAAAAGGTCCATATATAACACGAAAGCATCCATTTGCTAATAACACAATATCCATATATTTACAATACAAGGTTTGTTGATATGATACACATATATCTGCACAAGTTAATTGCAAAGTTAGCACAATGTAAACTCCATAAATAGCAACATAAATTTCATAAACAACATCTATACCAAAACATTTATATCAATTGCAGAAAAATATGTATGAAAAACAACAAAAAGTTCATAAATAATAACTTGTTTTCATTAAATGAACATGAACGCGTACATTATGATTAGATAAAATTAATATGGCTCAAACTCTCTCTATATCCTTTTTTGACAAAATAAAACTAATAATGGTAGATGCAGCACTTGATCCATTCTTTCCACACTATGGCAGATCATTTCAGGAAGTTGGTTGGTGTGAGAGGAATGTAATCGAACGAATGCTTGATCGTCTTCTCCATACTCATATGGATAAAAGTGGATCACTCACTCATACCTGTTGAATGAAACAACTTCAAATGAGAGAAAGAAGGAAGAAGAAGAAGAGAGGGAATAGAGAAGCATGATGGGGAGGAAAATAAATTTGGTTATTGCATTAGTGTTAAAAGAGGAAGAGAGAGAAGGAAGAGGGAGGAAGAACAGAGGAAGAAGAAAAAAAATTTTGTTCAGCAGCTGGTTATGGAAGGGACAAATTAGTCATTTCACTAAAAAAAACATAATTGCAAATGAGGCCTTTAAACCCTCAGAATAATTTCAAAATCTATTAGGCCTTATCTACAAAATTCTTGCTTTTTAAGACCCTTAGTGCTATTTCCCCTATTATTTATTAGTTCCAACACAAGGATGAGCATCGCATGGCTCTAACTGGGCCCCTGTGTCATTTGTGGTCATTACTTGACCATCCAACATCAGACCTAAACATTTTAAATTAAATTATATATTTAATCTTTTAAATTTATACAAGGTTTTATTTTGCTTTTTTTAATTTTAATCTCAATACTGTTAGTTTTATCACAAAAAATTTATATTCAACTTTTAAATATTAACAAAACTTTTTAAAATGTTGATATATTAAGTTTATTTTTTTAAAAAATAATAATGATTGGCACTACAAAAATAATCATTTGTAACTAACAGTGTTAAGGTTATAGGACTGAAAAAATACTTTATAAAATTAAAAACTTATATATAAAGGACTAAATGTATACTTTAATCAAAATTTTATCTCCAGACCTTTATTAATAAGGTGGGGGTGGTTGATTCAAATGTTAGGTCTAACTTTCCATACTTTTATAGAAATGTGCTTAGGTGCATTAGAGAATTATTGGGGCAAGTTATCAAGATTAATACAACATTGAAGGAAAGGGGAGAGACAAGCATGCTAGAATGGTGGCAACTCATGAATGGCTTTATAATCTAGTGGCATGTAAACCTTTTTGTAAATGAGAGGTTACAGGTTCAATCCCATTTATAACCTTAGGTCATTAATGCATGCCCTTCTAATTCATAAAGAATGGTGGTAATTCTTGATCTTGCCAAGTTATTAACATCTAAACTTATTGTAGATGGCGAAACACATTGTGGAATGTGAGGGACTCCTTGAAACCCGCTACCATTGTGAATAACATAGGCACCTTGAACGATCGTGTCCCTTAAAAAATCTTGCACAACTACTAAAAAACCCAATCTTCTTCAATGACTTTACTAGCTCTAGATCAAGATCTAGAGTTGACCTTTTACACTATGTTTGGTTGGAGAAAAGGAGAGGAGAGGGAGGGAGGGAGGGAAATTATTTAAAATTTTGTACACATACTTTAATCATTCTTGTGTGTATAATTTCAAATTCAAACAAGGATTTGGATGAAGATTAAATGGCCAAAATATTGGATTACAAGGCAAACTGCAAAGCAAGAA